TAGTATTTGTAATAAGAGGCATGGGGCAAAAATATCTCATTTAACTTTTTTCATGATCTTTTACGAAAAAATTTAAAATCAACCAAAAAATCGGATTATTTAAAAAAAAATTCCCCCGAAATAATTACAATTTTTATCGAAAAAAAACGAAGCGTTCTAAATAATGAAGTGGAGAAAACTATAAATTTTTAACACCGCAAACGATCAAAAAATAAATTAAATGAGTTGAAATGAAATGAGTTGAAATGAAATGAAAATAAGCTCAAAGCATTTAGTCAGAATTTAAAAAAAATCATCTTCTCCAAATCGAAATGTTAAATTTTAACGGAGAAGTAGAATATATATTGGATTTGGGCTTTTACTGCAACCGCTACTAGCCCTCTAAGATACAGGAAAAAAGGAGAAATAAAAAAATTGTGAATGAAGATTAATTTCGAAAATTGTTGAAATATTAAACCAATTAGAGATTGCGCTATTTCTAAGCCTCACCCTCAGGCTATTTTCCTTTCAGCAGACGATGTTCCTTTTATTCGAATCGAAATAATTGTTACTTTTCAACTTCGATAAATAATAAATGGTAAAACAGGGAAGAAGAATTTAGCAAATTTATGCAACACACGCAATCTTAAGAAAAAGGAACAAAAAAAATGTAACAGTAAATGAAAAATATTTTGAGTATTTTTTTAAACCATTAATAAGAAAATTGATATCGAGTGTGTGTGTGTAGCTGCAATTTGAATTCGTTTTTTTAGAAAAATTAAAGTTTTTTAAAATACCGAAGTTCGAAAAGCAGAAAAATTTATAGTATAAGCACCTCAACTTGATGTATTAAAAAATAAAAATTACGTAATAACTTAGATAATTTTAATGAATTATTTTTAATTATTTTATTTTACACGAAACACTCAAAATAGCAAGCAGAAAATCTGGCATGATAACACACTGTATAATAAAAATAATAATATTAATTATTATTATTATTATTAGTGGTAATATTGGCCGGGATAGCCTGTTCGGTAGGGTGCTAGGCCCATGTCCAAGAGCTCGTGGGTTGGAACCCCTCCGGCCGAAGACTATACCCGTGTAGTTGGTGACTGATGCACGTTACAATTCTGTCGGGTCGCAAAGTCCTCCATGTTCCCATAACAAATCAAACCTCTGGGATTACTGGATTGGAGATCGATCGTTCTCTGATTCAGGTCAAAATTACGATCTGTGGATGAATGAATGGGTGTATGAATGAGTCCGCCTTATAAACAGGCGTGGCGGATGATGTGGCAGAAGACGAATTCTCGCCACTGAAAAACAAGAATCGCACACTCTGCCTTAAATTTGCTCGGTTTCACCAAGCAGGCTTGCCCGTGTGGCAAGTGGTATTAGAACCAACTAGTAGTAGTATTACTAGTATTATTATTTTTATTAGTATTATTGTTAGCATCAACACGGTAGACTGATCGTAAAACGTGGTTTCCAGTAGATCACAAAAGGCAAACATAACTGGCAGCAGTCAGCGAGCGGATGGGTGACCACTAGGGTAAGCCTGCTGAGGAACCGAGGTAGCGCGGTATCTTTAAACTGTTTTACTCGCACGACTTCGTGCATGTCATCGGGTTACCAAAGAGTCTGCGGTGGATCAAAGTTGTGAGCGCATTAAGTATGAGTTGCCATAAAATTGTGACTTAGATTCTATTCGCTGATACCATATAAATTACAAAAACATAAACGTTACATTTTCAACAATGAGCACACACATAAACTAAAAATAATGCTATTCAAAATAAAATAATATTATTCTAATAGCAAAAGAATAATTGGTCCACTATACAACATACAAATTGAAAAATGTTGCAATGCAGATTAGAAATTCATAAATGCTTTGTTCTTAATATGAGTAAAGCATTCTCGCAAAAACACATTGCGAGTCATGGCGAAGGGAAAAACGCAAAGAATACTGAACATTCATTTCATTGCACATCAACATTTTAACATTTTGTACAAATAAATATCTTTTAACACACATTACACTTATTACAAAAACATAAATTTTCTATTTTTACGACTGCGCATGTAAAATAAACAAATATGTATATATCATAAAAATATGTTTTTTTGCCAATGCCCACCTGTGTTAACATCAGTCAATTCAGGTATTTACAGGGCGACTTTGTTGGCCTCTCTTTCAGGGGCACTGTATTAGGTGGGCCAACGTCGCTCCCACAGAGAGGACAGATAGTACAGAGGAGGAAAGAACATCCATACCTTGCCCGGGATTCGAAACCAGAAAATTTTTGATGGAGGAACAGTTCCCTGCCCCCTACACAGGAAAGTCGGCATATTATAAAACATAAAAACAATATATTAAATTTTTTTTTCATATATAGGATCCTTTAATATATCAAAAAACAAATTAAGAAAATAATATAATGTAAAATAAACAAAAGAAGAATAAAATTAAAAAACTTAAAAATTGACCACAGCCGGGGTTTGAACCCGTGCCCCCTCTCTCCAGGCGTAAGTCACTAGTACATGGTCTTAGCAGTTGGACCTCGCTTATACGGGGATCGCGCTACTACATAGCTTCAAGAACCCACTACCGGTTAGCTAAACAAAAGACTTAAGGGGTCATTGCAGACTACCTAGGAGGTCTATAAAATTTTCCTTTGGTAGGGTGGTTCGGCTTAGAGAGGCCTATATTTGGTCCGAGTTTGAAAATTATAACTTAATATTAAAGGAAAGTAGGTTGGCTTGAAATTTGATCACTTTTCCAGCCATTTGATTTTATTTTATTTTTTATTCCATTATGCTTTCTTTCACAAAGAGACACAATTGTTTTTATACTTAGAACAACATATTTCACCTGTTAAACTATCATGAAAGAATTGTAAAAGGACTTTAAAAAAATAATATAATAAAAATAAACTAATTTTCCGGGATTTTACCAGTTTTTAAGCATTATTTGAAATTTCCCGAATAAAATTTTTTTTTCTTTATAGGATCCTTTATTGTATCGAAAAACACATTAAATAAATAATATAATGTAAAATAAACAAAAGAAAATAATTTAAAAATTGACCACAGCTGGGGTTTGAACCCACGCCCCTCGGTCCATGCGTAAATCACTAGCACACGGTCTTAGCCGTTGGACCACGCTTTTACGAGGATCGCGCTACAACATAGCTTCAAGTACCCTATCCCGGTTTGCTAATCAGAGGACTTAAGGGGCCATTGCGGCCCGCCTAAGTGGTTTATAAAATTTTGCTTTGGTAGAGGGAACCGGCACATAGAGGCCTATATTCGGTCCGAGTTTGAAAATTATAACTTAATATTAAAGGGAAGTAGGTTGGCTTGAAATTTGATCATTTTTCCCACCATTTAGTTTTATTTTATTTTTTATTCCATTATGCTTTCTTTCACAAAGAGACACCCTTGATTTTATACTTAGAACAACATATTGCACCTGTTAAACTATCATGAAAGTATTGTAAAAGGAGTTTTAAAAAATAATATAATAAAAATAAACTAATTTTCCGGGATTTTACCAGTATTTAAGCATTATTTGAAATCTCGCGAATAAAATTTTTTTTCCTCATAGGATCCTTTAATGTATCGAAAAATACATTAAATAAATAATATAATGTCAAATAAACAAAATAAGTCAAAAATTAAAAAAATTAAAAATTGGCCACAGCTGGGGTTTGATCCCACGCCCACTCGCTCCATGCGTAAATCACTAGCACATGGTCTTAGCCGTTGGACCACGTTTATACGAGGATCGCGCTAAAATATAGCTTCAAGTACCCTCTCCCGGTTGGATAAACAGAAGACTTAAGGGGCCATTGCGGCCCCCCTATTTGGGTTATAAAATTTTGCTTTGGTAGAGGGGTCCGGCACATAGAGGCCTATATTCGGTCCGGGTTTGAAAATTATAACTTAATATTAAAGGGAAGTAGGTTGGCTTGAAATTTGATCATTTTTCCCGCCATTTTATTTTATTTTATTTTTTATTCCATTATGCTTTCTTTCACAAAGAGACACCCTTGATTTTATACTTATAACAACATATTGCACCTGTTAAACCATCATGAAAGTATTGTAAAAGGAGTTTTAAAAAATAATATAATAAAAATAAACTAATTTTCCGGGATTTTACAAGTTTTTAAGCATTATTTGAAATCTCCCGGATAATTTTTTTTTTCCTCATAGGATCCTTTGCTTCAAGTACCCTCTCCCGGTTTGCTAAGCAGAAGATATAAGGGGCCATTGCGGCCCCCCTAATTGGGTTATAAAATTTTGCTTTGGTAGAGGGGTCCGGCTTATAGAGGTCTATATTCGGTCCGAGTTTGAGAATTATAACTTAATATTAAAGCATATTAAAGGGAAGTAGGTTGGCTTGAAATTTGATCCTTTTTCTCGACACTTTATTTTATTTTATTTTTTATTGCATTATGCTTTCTTTCACAAAGAGACTTCTTTGATTTTATACTGAGAACAACATATTTCACCTGTTAAACTATCATGAAAATAATTTAAAGGGTGTTTAAAAAAATAATATAATATAAATAAACTAATTTTCCGGGATTTTTCCAGTTTTTATGCAACACTTGAAATTTCCCGAATAAAAATATCCTCTTTTATATATGGGATTTTTTAATATATCGAAGATCACTTTAAATAAATAATATAATATTAAATAAACAGAAGAAGAAAAAAATAATTTTTTTTTTAAAATTGACCACAGCTGGGATCCGAACCCACGCCCCCTCGCTCCATGCGTATGTCACTAGCACATGGTCTTAGCCGTTAGACCATGCTTTTTCGAGGATCGCGCTACAGCATAGCTTCAAGAACCCTCTCCTGGTTTGCTAAACAAATCTCTGTCTCCCATTCACGAATTTTTCTTAAACAGTGAGAATGTCCGTTGAGGTTAAGCAACGGGTGAGCTAGATGCTTTAGGATTTTCAGTTTAATTTAAGATTAAAGAATTTATGTAACAGAAATAGAAGGTCAGAAACGTCGTAATCAAAACAAATAGAATACGAATTAGGCAGAAAATTTAATTTTTTGTTTTTTCAATAAGCTTTGAGAAATGAGATTAAAATTTTCTATTTTAATAAGACTATAAAGAATGGATCTCATTTAAGAAATCTATCGTCATTTGGGAATTCCTTTAAAGAACATTAAGCAGTATGCTTTTTGATGAAGCTATATGCTTGGTTAGTTTTATTTCCACCCACTAAGTGTTTAAATTAGTCATGGAACTAATTTAATCTTTGAGTGGTATACCATGCTTATTGTATTTTCTAATTTAAATCGTATTTTGATATCGTAAATAGAATAGTAAGTTTTATTATGAAAAACTGTGAAGTATGAATAGAACTCATAAATTCAAACCAACTCTTAAATTCGATATTATAATAGGTTTTATAATTTTGTTTGAAACTTCAATAATACAAGTATAGTTATTTAAAAAAAGAAATGTAAAAAAATTACATTTTCTGTTATTATATTAGATTGTAATTTATTTCAATTCAAATATGTTTATGTAGTAACAGATTGCTAAACAAGTCTATGGCTATTTTTAGTATCACCCATTTCATTAAATTTGGTTCGGTTTTTTTCTTCAATGTCCTGGAAAAAATAAGCTTTTGCCAATAAATATTCCTAACCATTACCAATCCAAAATTTCTTGACAATCTGGAATAAAAAAATTTGTTTACTATATTTTCCGTTCTTCTCAAGAAAGACCCTCTTTCATCTTGCCCATTGGTTTTTGAGCCCACATTTTTATGTTGAAAGTCTTTTGCTTTGGTAAATTCTTTTACCCTTTACAGTTGAAACCATTAGTTTTGTCACACCTTGTATACTACTAACAGCTATGAAATTATTTAAATTGTTCTCAGTCAAAAATTCTTGTAAATAAAAGTTTATTCAGATAACTTTATTTTTGTTGAAAGAGACAAATTTTTGATTTTTTAAAACTAAGTTTTATTTGCTAAGTTGAATAATTGAAGTTTATTATTTTTATGACTAATTTATTGATATATGCCAACAATACTTACTTTTTTGATAATGCTACTGAAATTAAACATATTTTTTTTATTTTTTAAAAAATTTCTTTGAAATATGTTTTATAAAATAATTTTTTGATAATCAGATTTACAACATCGAATTACTGTGTTCCATAGAATCTACCTCTCTTTTTTAGTAATTTATTAAATAGCACCCTTCTGTGTTTTTCACATTTTTTAATAATTATGAAGCAACAATACTGTGAATTCTGTTTTTTATTTAATTACTTAAACCAGGTTGGAAGATTAGACAAAATAATGATAGATGGATAGTCGAAAACCCTTAGAATGTAGTAATCATTGATAAAGAAAGGACAGTAGAAAAAAGTGAATTTTTATTTCTGT